TGTCTGGCTTAAGGTAAAATGACATGAGTTTGCATTAGCAGTAGACTAGTAGGAGTTAAAACTAAGACCAAAATCTTGCAAGTTTTCATGTAATAAACCTTATAAGAATGGTTGAACACTCCCTTAATTTGACAAGTTTATCTTTGAGCAGGGAGATGAATACCTGCTGAACGATGATGGACTTCCCAAACCGAGTTTCCCAAACCATTGGAAGGGAAAGAATGGTTTGTACTGCGTTGGATTGTCAAGAAGAGGATTGCATGGTGCGAGTGCTGACGCTCAGAACATAGCCAATGATATCAAGTCACTTCTGTAAGGAGTCCCTTCAACAGAAGGAAGTATTGTGATGCAATCAATGGTTTATGCGTAATGTTTGGTATCTTCCTTAATAAGTCCCTACTCTCCTACTTGAAACAGCCTTGCTCATAAAAAGATATGTCATGGTATTGGGGGAAAAAGAAATAGATTAATAGGACAGTTTTTATGAGCTTTATTACATGGCCTGATCCAGCCTAGAGCTTGATGATAACATTGGGGATAGTGTCTTTTTGTATATTTCACATCGAATCGAGTGAGATGATAATCCAACATTTTTTATTCTTTCAAAACATGTACATCAAATGCTCTCCGGTCTCTAGGTTCGTTGCAGCCTCATTCTGATCCAGTGCATGCAACCATGCTTCCCTTAATCAATCAAGAAATGGGCCAAAAAATGTTACAACCAAATCATAAATCCTAACCAACCACGGGAGGATGGGGGAAAGGGAAGGACGAGATGGCACTCTGGTATTTTGATAACGGCTTCACAGAAACCAATAAAAGCTTTTGAGTGACGTGGCAAACTTAAGCTCTCAATCATAACCTTTCCGAGCCAGGATCTTCTTTTATTCCCCGACCTTTCCTTGCCAAGATGATCAAACTGAATTCTTCGACTTGGAATAATTATGCCCAAAGGAGTCCTTCAAAGCCAATCTCCAAATTTGAAACTGGACTATCGCCATAGTCCTGCTCTATGGCCTGGTTGTCTCTAACTGAATCAACATACGGTTCTAAAAGATCATCAGATTTTTCGGACGGAATTCCATAATCTTTGAGTATGCGTGAAGAAGCTGCCATAGCTGCTTCCCTCTCCAAAACAGCTAGGTAATTGTCTTCAAATTCAAACACTAGATACTTGTCTTTACAACCTGAACAAGAATATGAACTTCCATGAGAACTACCTAATAGATTGATGATGAAGACTAGATAATGGATGTTAACGCTTACAAGCCACAAGGTGTGCTAGGTGATGAATGTTTTTTATTCGAATTCCATTGAACTTCAAAACCTGAAATTTTTACATTTTAGTACATGTGAATGAATTGGCATACGCAAGTTATAAGAAGGACATAGAAAACCCACCTGCTGGTTGCCCATGTCCTCATATCCGATGTTCACTTCGTTTGCCAAAATCTATTGAAGACAAGATAAACAAAGTCAGGTCACATGCACAGAAATACTGTTCCCAAATTCCCATCAAGACAACCCATGCTCTATGGCACGATGACATCATGGCACGGGAATAGAAATGTTTTCTTTTGGGGACATGAAGACTCATTGGTTCTTGGAGGCTAAGACTACTCAACAAGAGATAACCCTGTCTCATCTCATAAACCCCAATACCGTATCCAAAAATTTGAACCGGAGACCTCCAAGTTGGAAATTTGCAAGTCCTAATCATTAACTTGTTCCCTTGATCCTTATAACATAAAAACATTATTATGACACTAAGAACTAGCTAGAGGGTTACTGAAAGAATATTCTTATGTGATAGTTTGCCTTAGCTATCAATGTCAAACATCATATCATAAGCAGCGCACCTGTGATAGTATCACGATCTGTTCTCCTTTGAACCTTGCCAATGAGTACCGTGCCTTCGCTAGCAGTTTCAACTAAGAAGAAGAATGACAATTAAATGTAGAACCTCAAAAGCATTTTGGTATCAAAGTGGAACTTTATCATGCTTCGGGAAGTTTTCTAGAATTTTCAACTTACCCCTATAGAGTCTTCGCACTCCTCCCTGAACATTTGACATCAATAATGAAACACAGATTACTTCATGATCAACATTAGTATCTTTACATCATTAATCCATCCAGGTAAAAGAATTATAGAAACTGTTGGATTGTGGGGAATGAGAAAACATACTCTATCAATGGTTCTGAAAGTGGGGTGAACACCAAACCAGCAATAATTAAATATGAAGGTTGACCTCCATCAATATGATAAGGAACCTAGAATGCCAGCCATAAAAGGATCTAAATCATTAGCATCTAAAAAGAAAGCAAACATAACCAATATTGCTGGAGCTGTATCTTTTAGTTCAGCACGAAGACTTAAATTGCATACCAAATGTACTCTTGGATTTAAAACTACTTGAACTTTCATGAATCTGCCTGCTCTAACAATACCAAGTTCTGCTACATCACCTGCAAATCTGTAAGAGAGCTTAAATTGGAAGCATGACAAACTTATATCACAAGCATCTAGAATGAATGGCGCAAGAAATGACTGAAAAAGTGATAAATAGGATAGGAGATTGAAAAGATGGAAAACACAAAGATAAGAATGTTCATTCTGCAATATATTGCATAAAGTGTTAAATTGAGTGAAAAAATGTATGCGATACAGCTTTTCATGCGATTTCTTGGCATTACTTTTGACTAATGAGGTAGCGAAATGCAATGCGCTCATTTGATCTGAACGGCACTGTTCCTTCAGAACCCACATGAACATCATCAAAACTCACAATCACGTCCCCCTGGAAAGGTAAAAGTAAAATAAAAAATTCCTTTCGTACCATACAATTATAAACAACGTCTAAAGAAAGCCAAACAAATCTTTATCATTAGGCTTCTCTTATCATCAGTGAGAAAATTGGACTCATGAAAATAACTAGAAATAAATATATATTGAAGCTTTAATATGCTGGTGTGAATACAGAGAAATGAGATGGACAACAAAATACAACTAAAGGTGCAACATGCTTAGATGCTTGTGAATACTGCCAGCCTACCTCCTTTAAAACATTATTTGCATCTGAAGTAGGTTCAACTCTTCGAACAAGTACACCCTGTGGAAGTCAAAAAAACATTTCAGGAAACAAACCTGTGAAAGTCAAAAAAACATTTAAGGAAACGAACTACTCAACAGACAAGACACTACCAATTTTTATTAAGATTAGACATATGAATTGCAAAATTGTATCAGATGCACTGTTAGAAACAGGTAACTTGCTAATAAAATGGGGCCTGATGATGAATTCAGGAAAAACAAAATGCTTTGTGGAGTCTACATAAACAACCCAGATAACAGCGACTCATAAATGTTTCCAGCTCTAAAGTTTACCAATTTCTGAATGAATACTTTATATTTGCACATTCATTTGATACTAATTACTGACACCTACCAACCTTCATCGAAACTTTAACAAATTCTTGAATGTTAGATAGAACATATATGATGCTTTTAAACTCGGTCCAGAACTAGAACGAATTATAGGAGGTCAGCACAAAAAAACATAGCCATTAGACAATAATCTATGCATAATCTGGCCTTAATTTACATTTCTTTACAATCTCTCAGTACTGATCCATTGCTGCATGTTTTTCATTTTTCAAAGCTTTATCTTTGTCATGCCCAGTATCCTCATACACAGCTTTCACATCAGTTAGTGTCCACCATCTCCTCCAAGAAGCTTCATCTGAAACTCTCTTCAGCAGGTCTACAACACAATTCTGAAATCCAACTCCTACGACACAAATCATTCTTGTATCCCACCATCCACAAATACAAGGGCACACAAATCCTCACTATCCCCAGGGAAAATGCAAACAAAATATATGCATGTGCATGTAAGTATAAGTGCACTTGTGCATTTT